ACGCCGGTCGCCCTGTGTGGTGACCCGGAGGCGGGCGGCCTGCTTGAACCGCACTTTCCCTTGGGGGTCTGTAAGCAAGGCTGCAGGCCCCTCACTCTGGAGGGTTTTCCTTACCTCGGCGGGGTTTGGGTGCTGCTCCTCGTCCCGGGTGAGGTGTGAGGCGAGGCCCTTCCTTCGTCGGTGACGCCGCGCGTAGCGATGGGTACAAACCTGAGGGAAAGCCGCGTCGCCATGTTACCTTCGGAGCTGAACTCTGGCGGCCGAAGCCTCGTGTCAGCCATGTTGACCATGTCAACTTTCCATGAGGAAGAACTTCTTCACCCTGAGGGTGACAGAGCCCTGGCCCAGGCTGCCCAGTGAGGCTGTGGAGTCTCTTTCTCTGGAGATATTCCAGACCCGCCTGGACGCGGTCCTGTGCAGCCTGCTCTGGGTGACCCTGCTTGGGCAGGGGGTTGGACCAGATGACCCACAGAGGTTCCTGCCAACCCTGACACTTCTGTATTGTTTTCAGCAGCAAAACCGGTTTCTCAGTTTGTGACCGCCTGGTTTCTCCTCGTCCCTTACACCTGAGGTGCCCTCGTAGCTGCTGACACACACATCGGTGAGCCGGGCTTAAGGAGTTGCTCTAATGTAACATCCCACCAAAAACTGGTTGTTTTAGAAGGTAAGCGCAGGGATTAAGCTGCTAATGTGGTTGCTGCCCTGGCAATAGCTAGGGACAGAGCTGTGACCTCCAGCATAGCGTGTGTTCAGCGTAAATAGAACTTGCAACCAGGAAAATTGCTATTTTTAAAAAAATAGAAGATAAAGGTATTTGAGAATTTATGGGCGTCATAGTAGGAGTCCATAATGCTAAATTTACTTTTATCTCAGCAACTACATCAGACCAGATTTTTTTAGGTTGACACATAGCAGCATGAGACCGACACTGAAAAGTGCGATGAACTGTGGAATAAATGACAGTGCGGTGCGTTAGGCAGAAATGTGGCTTCATCATCTCAATGTAGCAAGTTCTTAGCACCAGCTATCCTGGTTGACATTCATATTTAATTAAAAAAAACAAACAAACCAAGACCTTGTAGCAAGATTATTTTGCTGGAACAAAAAAAAACTCCCAGCTCTTGGAAGCCCTTCTAGAGACATCCCCAGAGGGCAACCTTGCTCTTCATTTCGAGAAACGATTCAGCCCCTGCCTATAGCAGCGTCATCTGCATTGGCGTTTCCGTTGCAGTAACTCTCAGGGTATATTAGATTTGGTTGTAAAAGTCTTCGTCACGCTGAATGAGTACAAAAAAAGATGCAGAACGTTTCCGTATTATGCAGTCTCAGTTTTCAGTCTTGTACACTGTGAACAAAAATATAACTGAGAACAGGACATGAGGTGCTTTTGCAGGCCTTGGGTAACTGCCTACTGCAAACTAATTAATTGCAGAATTCATTAGGCAGTCCAGACTATTGGAACTTTTACCTACAGATTATATGATTATCAAAGATGAAGCCTATTAGTGTTATCTTCAGTACATACAGCTCTATGCAATTAAATCGAAACCAGTGTAAATGACACCAAATTATCACAGTTGCCAAATCTCAAGCCTTGCTTAGATTTATGTTTAAAAAATTATTTTTGAGGATGAGATAACACTGCATCTCTCATCTTGGCATAACCAAATTATGAGGAGTTTGATAAGCAGATAATGTTTTTGTACTTCATATCCTATGCCTGAAAGTCTACACGTTCCACATACAAATATGAACAGAACCTTTCTTTAGGATAATCTGTTTGTTAGTGTTATTGTGGAAATTAAGAAACAGGCATGTGGGAGCTAACCTTGGGTAGGAGCAGGGGGAGGCCGTTTGAAACCCCTGGAGATCTCTTAATAAATTCCACCTGCACATGGTGCACATCAGCAAGGCTGTGATCAGGACATGATTACATAGGATGTCTGTTTCTAGAGTCCAAAATAGAAGTCAGTGGTCTGAGTCATCTTGTACTTACCACTGATTTTAATCTGCTCCCTCACAGCTATTTCCCCCAGCTTCGGTATAAATAATGGTGTAGACCCTTCCTTTGTTGTCTTCCGGCTGTAGGTCTGATTTAGGACAAGAGTGGGGCCTGTTTATTTGTAAACAATGAAGTAACAGCAGGCATTGTCCTGCAAGAGCTACTGATTTATTTCCACGCTGTGCTGACACTGAATTTATGCTTAATATTCAAATACTTTCACTTTTTTCTAAAGAAAAAAAAAAAGGTTTCAGGAAGAAGGGGTGGTGACAGAAGAGCCATCTTCATTGAGCCTAGCATTCTACTTTGTTTTAAAGCATGCTGGTGATGGCTTGAGTTTACCTATTGTTTTGGGGGGGTGGTAGGTGTTAGAACATTGCAATTTTTCTCACAGCCAGCCATTTAGTGACTGAAAACCAGTCCAAAAAGTAACCAGGAGATCATCCTGGTTTCTAATAGTCCTCCTGCACACTCCATTTTCTGCAGAGTGGAACATGAAAATCAAAATGTTTTCTAAGAGACTTCTGTAAGTAGAAATCGGGAAAAGGGTGGAAATAATGGAGTTGCATGAGAATAAGCAGAACAAGATGACCTTTAGCCTGGGAGTTTATGGATGATACTACTCTTAGCAAGGAGAGCTGCAGGAGACTGGATATACTAGGGACGAGCAGCACCCCCAGCAGTGGGTTGAGCAGGTTTGAAAAGAGAAAACGAAGTGCAGACTGTAGGAGGACTTTAGAGTTGAGCAGATGTTTTCAGGTTTTGTTTCTGGGTTGGTTTCTTTTTTTGCTTCTTTTCCAGAAAAACATATAACTTCAGGATCTGGGAGCTCTTGCTCCCAAAAAGGATTCTGAGAGCAGCTCATCTGCATTCTGTATGCTACCTATATACCCCTAATTAATCATTAATTTGTACCTCTCACTTGCTTTTCTCTGAGAGCTCCCAGTGTAGTTCACCAAGACCAGATAATAAATGGTCCGGGTACTTCATCATGTCCCGTGCCTCTGTGTCCAGACTTGCTGTAAATTTAATCTTTTCCTCTGATGGTCTAACAGCTAGCGTCTAATTTCTCTATGTGTGGGAAGTAAGCGCATCCTTACAGTGTATGAAGGTAAGGAAGAATGAGTCTGCGAAGGCTTGAGGAATGGAATGGGAAAATTTCCCCTTTATCCCTGCTAACTGGTTATTACTGTACTGACAAGCAACCCTCAATATTGTTTTTGCTCAGTCCAGTCTCAGCTGACAATATTCTAAAACACCTCCACAGATGACCCGGGTTCAAGCTGCCTTGCGCTGGCCTGGACACCTAGTACTGCAGCGGAGAGTCTTCTGCTGATGTCAGTGGGAGTAGAAGTAGGCTTAAAGTAAGTGGAAAACTAATCTGCTTCTCCAGTCTCTAACAACAGGCCAGCCCAGGGAAGGACTGAAACACAGGATACATATGTAATATGGAGAGGGAAATTTTTGCTTTTGTCTGTAACATGAGTAATCCCTGGGAACAGAGTGCCTTCCCCAGGGCTTTTAGTCAGAGACTTCTCAGTATCCATATAACATCTGAAGTCATAGATTTGGGATGAGGGCACAGCTAATAGCATGCAGCAGTGAATTTTTCCTGTAACGAGAAAATATGCGAGAGGGGAAAAAAAACCCACCCTTTTTTCTTTTTTTCCTATTTTTTCCCCCCAGTTAATTTGCATCTTATCAGTGGGGAACTAGAAGTGTTTGGAAAAGGATGAAAGCAAATCCATAATGAAACAGTGTGAGTGAAGTAGTTTCCATTTTCTTTTGACCTCAGAGGGCACAGGGGAAAGTGTGGGGGTGGCACTGCTGCAGAGGCTGCCGTGTTGATGAGGCCCCAAGCGAGGTCCATCCACCAGTGGGTTCCTCCCCTCCCACCACCCCGGCTTAGAGAAACCGCTCACGCAGCATCCACCCTGCCAGTACCCCCTGGGTTAGACGGGACCCTGGGCAAACACCCTCCTACGTCTTTCTTCCCTGCTGCCACAAGCAATCTGTCACTCCTCCCCTCGAACCACCCTCCACCTACGTACAAAACCATAACTGTAAGGAACGCCCTCTTCCCTTCCCCCTTCCCTCCCCACGGGTCTGTTCTTCTTCGTGGGTGGAAAATGCTGTCTTCCTGGAGATCTGGTCACCCCTGAGTTTGGCTTTGAGACCTAAGCTGCTTGATACCTTTTAGGACCACAGCTTGGAAAGCGCTGCTTGCAGATCTATTGTGTGAGGTTTTTATTTGCCGGTAATTGCACATGTGCAGGTGGGAAGGGGTTATTTGCTTCCCACTTGCTTTGATATGCCTCCCCTCCTAAGAGGACCCGCTTCCTTCCCTTCCCGCTCTCGGCCTCCCACGCATCCAGCAATGAGAAATGCTGCAGAAAACTGACCAGCTACCAACCCGCCCACCTGAGGAGGAGGAGCACTAGCAGCAGCAGCACATTTCTCTCTCGCTCTCAGCTTTTTAAACACGGTTAAAAAGAGCTGTAGCGTGGGTGGAAATAGCTGTAGGGAGTGTGTGGGGGAATGGGGCCAGGGGAAAGTGAATTTTCTGTCGGTAGGACAGTTGCTTCTAGTGGACCAAAAAAATCCCCCAAGGTTATCTTACTTCTGAGGATGTCTTTGGGTGTATAATTAGTTCTTCAGGTTTGAGTTTCCCAGGTCTGGAAAGAATGAAACTGAGTTTCTTTGTCCCTGGTAGCACAAACGACGGTGCAGCGGCAGTCAGCACTCCTCACTCAGGGAAGCTTGCCTACAAGACTTCAGGAGTCTGCTTAGCAAATGATATTTGTATTGCATCCTGTGGTGCCATCATGTCTCTTGTTCTCCTCAAGATGCATGGGCTTGATTCTGGGAGAGCCAGAGCTGCCTGTATGTAGGAAGAGAGAAAGGCATGTGGTTTTCACACAGTGTGGGTCTGTATTTCAAAATACCATCCCTGTTGGACCTCTTGAAATAGCACTATCCCAGAATATCAGTTAATTCAAGGTTTACTCTAAATTTGTGCTTCTATAAGAAATTAAATTCAAGCTTATTTATGTTAACAGGATGTTATTTGAGGTGCTTTGCTTGTATTACATGAAAATAGCAGTGAGACTAGTATAGGAAAACAGAGCTTGTAAAACTAGTGGCATAGAGTGCAAAGTGGTACTGCTGTTTCTTAAGAAATCTGTCTGATAGCCTCTGAGAACCAAGGGTACGGAACAGCTTTCAGGTTCCGACTAGGTTTGACTCAGCCATCTGCAATACAAGTTTTACAATCTGTAACCCTAATCA